TGTGCACACAAAAGAGGTTGGTACAACCGAATGCTGATCGCCTCGGCAGTAGCAAGGGTCCGGAGGCGCAGGCCTTTCGACTGGAGTGGAGGGACCCTGTACAGTATTCGAAAGGCACTGACTGGGTCAACCTCATGCCCACTATCAACCAGATGAGCCATAACTGAGCTAGTTATAGCTCCAGTACCACCTCGACGCAACCAACGTGGCAGGTGCTCCTTAATGCGTTTCGAAAGTTGCCGCGCCGTTCGACCGATGTAAGTAGCGCCACAAGCGCACTTGAACTGATAAATTACCATAGAAGCGGTCAGCGTCGGTAACTTGTCTTTGTTGTAAATACGGATGAGTGGCTCCGTGGAAAAGGTACACCTAAGTTTGGCTGCTGGAAAAGTTGACTTGACAGCTGTTGAAAGGCTTCTAGTTACACGCTCAGCAGCGGCGTCTCCCTTGAAGGGTAGTCGTATGAAAAGTTCTTTTTTCTCTGCTGTCTGAACCTGTAACTGGTCGGGCTTACTTTGCATGTTCCTCAAAATGAAACGATCAGGATATCCGTTTTCGCGCAGCAAATTCTGAATGAGCGTCAACTCATTATCCAACTTGTCTTCAGAACAGATCCTGTGGGCCCTTGTGGTTAGACAGCGAATTAGGTTTCGCTTATATCTCAACGGAACGAAACTGTGAAAGTTCGTATACTGTCCACTCCAGGTTTTCTTCCTGTAGACTTGCCGTTGGATCGAGCCGTCTGCCCTTCTAGTTAACAGCACATCAAGAAACGGCAACTGATCGTTCAATTCCTTTTCGTAGGTGAACTGCAATGATCCGTGGGCCCGATTAAAGCGGTCAATAACAGCGTCAAGATCAACAGACTGGTCGGCCACGACAAATATGTCGTCCATATAGCGGTGGTAACATTCAAAGGCCGTGATCTCCTCATGTAACTTGGTATTCTCTAATTTCGCCATGAAGACATCAGCTAACAACGGACCCAATGGCGATCCCATAGCTACACCATCCTTTTGTCGGTAGTAAGTGCCATTGAATAAGAACTGTACGTTCCAAGTGCAACGCAAAAGAAGGCTTTTCAAGTCACGCAACGGTATGCATATACTTGCTTTTGTTTCTTCTATGTAGGAACAAAGGTAATCGATCGTCTCGAAAAGTGGCACGTTGGTGAAAAGCGATACAACATCCAAGGGAAACATTACTTTCTTATCAATGTTGCGATCTTTGATGCTTTCGATGAAATGAAAGGTGTCACGAAGGCTGTAGTGTGTAAGTCGCTGTCTTACTGGCTCTAGAATTTCCACAAGCCATTGGGCGACGGCATGGTAGGGTGAATTAACCATTGATAAGATCGGGCGAAGCGGGACACCTGTCTTATGAATTTTTGGTAACCCATAAAGTCTCGGGACATTCGTGCCACTCGGCTTCAGGCTATCATAAAGTGTATTTGATATATGTCCATTATTCCGAAAATCTCGCAAGCTTTTAATAATTTGGTTTTCAATCCTCTCTGTCTGGTCCTTTTCTCCAATCATTGGGGAAAATTTCGATTCGTCACTCAGAACCTTTTCGAGCTTGTTTATATAGTCTTCTTTATCCAACAGAACGACTCCAGTACCCTTGTCCGGTCTGCTCAGAACGATCTTACCATTGCGTCGTAAATCCTTCAGCGCGTCAAGGTGCTTGCGTGTCAGTGGACCGTGAGTGTGGACATGGCACTTGCGATACTGGTAGCAGGTGTTCACTAAAGAACACTTAATGCGTTCCAGGTCTTCATTTGACTTAGCTACTAGCCCTTTTGTTTGGCCAAACAGGCTTTCAAACTGTAACTCATAGTGAAGCTGATTGTCTTTGTGTTTGGGAGCGCAAAACTTTGGACCAAGCGATAGAACTTCCATTAAAGTGGAGTTCAATTTCATACTTGAGAAATTGTGCACGTATCTCTCAGGTCTATTAGGGAAAGTGGATTGCGGCTTATGCTGATTCAACGTCTTTGTTAGGGCCAAATGCCTTTGTCGTACACGGTTTGCGGTGACAGACTGAACGTAATCCAGGAATGATTGTTTCATGTCCAACGCTAACTCGTCAATCACATGTTGACGTTGCGCTATATTGCGTTCGAATTCGGGAATCTTGCATTGCACCGTGTCACGCTGATTCAAAGTATGACGTCTAAGCGTTTTGGCATTCGGGTAGATACGACTGCGGCGCAATTGCTTCCAAAATCTGCTAGGATATTCGTTGCCTTCAATGCAATCATCGAAGAATTGTACACAAGTTTTAGCCTCCGCAAGCCTAGTGGAGAACTTAAGGAACTGATTTAGTTCCCTCACCACTGAGGGCGGCTTGGACGATTTCAGTAAGTGGAAAATTCCCATTTCATTATCAAGAACGAAAGACCGAGGGTGAACAATTGTTTTCGATGATTCATCTTCAGACCTGTACAATCATATGGTTGAAATCGCAGTAGGAAAGTACAAGGGGATTAACGATCAGTTCAAATGAGATAGATCACGTGTCGATCAAAGGCATGAACCAGTAACAAACAGCAAACTAGGTCTGAGGTACCGTTGCACAATTGCAGTTGCTGTCCGAAGGATCCGTTTTGGCTGGCCAAGGTAGCTGAACAGCTTCGATCAGCTTCTTTTGTGCACACAAAAGAGGTTGGTACAACCGAATGCTGATCGCCTCGGCAGTAGCAAGGGTCCGGAGGCGCAGGCCTTTCGACTGGAGTGGAGGGACCCTGTACAGTATTCGAAAGGCACTGACTGGGTCAACCTCATGCCCACTATCAACCAGATGAGCCATAACTGAGCTAGTTATAGCTCCAGTACCACCTCGACGCAACCAACGTGGTAGGTGCTCCTTAATGCGTTTCGAAAGTTGCCGCGCCGTTCGACCGATGTAAGTAGCGCCACAAGCGCACTTGAACTGATAAATTACCATAGAAGCGGTCAGCGTCGGTAACTTGTCTTTGTTGTAAATACGGATGAGTGGCTCCGTGGAAAAGGTACACCTAAGTTTGGCTGCTGGAAAAGTTGACTTGACAGCTGTTGAAAGGCTTCTAGTTACACGCTCAGCAGCGGCGTCTCCCTTGAAGGGTAGTCGTATGAAAAGTTCTTTTTTCTCTGCTGTCTGAACCTGTAACTGGTCGGGCTTACTTTGCATGTTCCTCAAAATGAAACGATCAGGATATCCGTTTTCGCGCAGCAAATTCTGAATGAGCGTCAACTCATTATCCAACTTGTCTTCAGAACAGATCCTGTGGGCCCTTGTGGTTAGACAGCGAATTAGGTTTCGCTTATATCTCAACGGAACGAAACTGTGAAAGTTCGTATACTGTCCACTCCAGGTTTTCTTCCTGTAGACTTGCCGTTGGATCGAGCCGTCTGCCCTTCTAGTTAACAGCACATCAAGAAACGGCAACTGATCGTTCAATTCCTTTTCGTACGTGAACTGCAATGATCCGTGGGCCCGATTAAAGCGGTCAATAACAGCGTCAAGATCAACAGACTGGTCGGCCACGACAAATATGTCGTCCATATAGCGGTGGTAACATTCAAAGGCTGTGATCTCCTCATGTAACTTGGTATTCTCTAATTTCGCCATGAAGACATCAGCTAACAACGGACCCAATGGCGATCCCATAGCTACACCATCCTTTTGTCGGTAGTAAGTGCCATTGAATAAGAACTGTACGTTCCAAGTGCAACGCAAAAGAAGGCTTTTCAAGTCACGCAACGGTATGCATATACTTGCTTTTGTTTCTTCTATGTAGGAACAAAGATAATCGATCGTCTCGAAAAGTGGCACGTTGGTGAAAAGCGATACAACATCCAAGGAAAACATTACTTTCTTATCAATGTTGCGATCTTTGATGCTTTCGATGAAATGAAAGGTGTCACGAAGGCTGTAGTGTGTAAGTCGCTGTCTTACTGGCTCTAGAATTTCCACAAGCCATTGGGCGACGGCATGGTAGGGTGAATTAACCATTGATAAGATCGGGCGAAGCGGGACACCTGTCTTATGAATTTTTGGTAACCCATAAAGTCTCGGGACATTCGTGCCACTCGGCTTCAGGCTATCATAAAGTGTATTTGATATATGTCCATTATTCCGAAGATCTCGCAAGCTTTTAATAATTTGGTTTTCAATCCTCTCTGTCTGGTCCTTTTCTCCAATCATTCGGGAAAATTTCGATTCGTCACTCAGAACCTTTTCGAGCTTGTTTATATAGTCTTCTTTATCCAACAGAACGACTCCAGTACCCTTGTCCGGTCTGCTCAGAACGATCTTACCATTGCGTCGTAAATCCTTCAGCGCGTCAAGGTGCTTGCGTGTCAGTGGACCGTGAGTGTGGACATGGCACTTGCGATACTGGTAGCAGGTGTTCACTAAAGAACACTTAAAGCGTTCCAGGTCTTCATTTGACTTAGCTACTAGCCCTTTTGTTTGGCCAAACAGGCTTTCAAACTGTAACTCATAGTGAAGCTGATTGTCTTTGTGTTTGGGAGCGCAAAACTTTGGACCAAGCGATAGAACTTCCATTAAAGTGGAGTTCAATTTCATACTTGAGAAATTGTGCACGTATCTCTCAGGTCTATTAGGGAAAGTGGATTGCGGCTTATGCTGATTCAACGTCTTTGTTAGGGCCAAATGCCTTTGTCGTACACGGTTTGCGGTGACAGACTGAACGTAATCCAGGAATGATTGTTTCATGTCCAACGCTAACTCGTCAATCACATGTTGACGTTGCGCCATATTGCGTTCGAATTCGGGAATCCTGCATTGCACCGTGTCACGCTGATTCAAAGTATGACGTCTAAGCGTTTTGGCATTCGGGTAGATACGACTGCGGCGCAATTGCTTCCAAAATCTGCTAGGATATTCGTTGCCTTCAATGCAATCATCGAAGAATTGTACACAAGTTTTAGCCTCCGCAAGCCTAGTGGAGAACTTAAGGAACTGATTTAGTTCCCTCACCACTGAGGGCGGCTTGGACGATTTCAGTAAGTGGAAAATTCCCATTTCATTATCAAGAACGAAAGACCGAGGGTGAACAATTGTTTTCGATGATTCATCTTCAGACCTGTACAATCATATGGTTGAAATCGCAATAGGAAAGTACAAGGGGATTAACGATCAGTTCAAATGAGATAGATCACGTGTCGATCAAAGGCATGAACCAGTAACAAACAGCAAACTAGGTCTGAGGTACCGTTGCACAATTGCAGTTGCTGTCCGAAGGATCCGTTTTGGCTGGCCAAGGTAGCTGAACAGCTTCGATCAGCTTCTTTTGTGCACACAAAAGAGGTTGGTACAACCGAATGCTGATCGCCTCGGCAGTAGCAAGGGTCCGGAGGCGCAGGCCTTTCGACTGGAGTGGAGGGACCCTGTACAGTATTCGAAAGGCACTGACTGGGTCAACCTCATGCCCACTATCAACCAGATGAGCCATAACTGAGCTAGTTATAGCTCCAGTACCACCTCGACGCAACCAACGTGGTAGGTGCTCCTTAATGCGTTTCGAAAGTTGCCGCGCCGTTCGACCGATGTAAGTAGCGCCACAAGCGCACTTGAACTGATAAATTACCATAGAAGCGGTCAGCGTCGGTAACTTGTCTTTGTTGTAAATACGGATGAGTGGCTCCGTGGAAAAGGTACACCTAAGTTTGGCTGCTGGAAAAGTTGACTTGACAGCTGTTGAAAGGCTTCTAGTTACACGCTCAGCAGCGGCGTCTCCCTTGAAGGGTAGTCGTATGAAAAGTTCTTTTTTCTCTGCTGTCTGAACCTGTAACTGGTCGGGCTTACTTTGCATGTTCCTCAAAATGAAACGATCAGGATATCCGTTTTCGCGCAGAAAATTCTGAATGAGCGTCAACTCATTATCCAACTTGTCTTCAGAACAGATCCTGTGGGCCCTTGTGGTTAGACAGCGAATTAGGTTTCGCTTATATCTCAACGGAACGAAACTGTGAAAGTTCGTATACTGTCCACTCCAGGTTTTCTTCCTGTAGACTTGCCGTTGGATCGAGCCGTCTGCCCTTCTAGTTAACAGCACATCAAGAAACGGCAACTGATCGTTCAATTCCTTTTCGTACGTGAACTGCAATGATCCGTGGGCCCGATTAAAGCGGTCAATAACAGCGTCAAGATCAACAGACTGGTCGGCCACGACAAATATGTCGTCCATATAGCGGTGGTAACATTCAAAGGCTGTGATCTCCTCATGTAACTTGGTATTCTCTAATTTCGCCATGAAGACATCAGCTAACAACGGACCCAATGGCGATCCCATAGCTACACCATCCTTTTGTCGGTAGTAAGTGCCATTGAATAAGAACTGTACGTTCCAAGTGCAACGCAAAAGAAGGCTTTTCAAGTCACGCAACGGTATGCATATACTTGCTTTTGTTTCTTCTATGTAGGAACAAAGATAATCGATCGTCTCGAAAAGTGGCACGTTGGTGAAAAGCGATACAACATCCAAGGAAAACATTACTTTCTTATCAATGTTGCGATCTTTGATGCTTTCGATGAAATGAAAGGTGTCACGAAGGCTGTAGTGTGTAAGTCGCTGTCTTACTGGCTCTAGAATTTCCACAAGCCATTGGGCGACGGCATGGTAGGGTGAATTAACCATTGATAAGATCGGGCGAAGCGGGACACCTGTCTTATGAATTTTTGGTAACCCATAAAGTCTCGGGACATTCGT